GCCTTCTCTCTGCTGGACCAGCGGAGGTACAAGCGGACGATAGGCAAGAGGAATAGAGAAGAGAAAAAAACAAGTCATGGCAGTGAAACAACTTTTGCCTCAAAATTACTAAGAATACACAACACAATCCCAGGCGTGCAGATTTTCTGTGGATTCCTTCTTACCCCCTTGCTTTAAAGCTGGTATTGCCTCTGTGAAGATCACAGTGGTGAACTCTGCTCTGAGCAGCGAAGGGACTAAGAATCCAGAATTCAAGGGCAAAGACACAAGCCTACCACCTCTCCCACAACAGCTCTCTGGGGTCAGCACTGGAAAACGGCCCACTCGGCTGCTCAGGCCTCGCTCCCCAGCCCTCCTGGCAGAGGAGCAGAAGTCTTTCCTAGTAGGAATAGTGGTTTCTAAGAACATGGCAGTTGACTGTCTAGATCAGCGGTTCTCAACCTGTGGGTCGCAACCCCTTTGAGGGTCGAACGACCCTTTCACAGGGGTCGCCTAAGACCATCGGAAATCACATATATAATTACATATTGTTTTTGTGATTAATCACTATGCTTTAATTATGTTAAATTTGTAACAATGAAAGTGGGGGTCACCACAACATGAGGAACTGTATTAAAGGGTCGCGGCATTAGGAAGGTTGAGAACCACTGGTCTAGATGAACTTGAGCCTCAGAAATTAGCCATGATAACTTGCATACTGTCACTAATCTCAAAATGGTACCAGCCAGAGTTTAGAGTCTAAGACAGTCCCACTACTTAGTAGTAACTCAAGATGGGCAGATAAGGCCTTAAAGACAGATGAGGAGGTCAGCTCAGGATTCCAGAAACTTCGGCCTCTTCCCTCCTCCTTCCACAGACACCTGGGCTTTGCCTTCCCCTCTGATGTCCCACCCCCAAGATTAACCCTGTGAATCCGACCTAACAGATCCCCTCTGGTTTATCATGACAGTAGCTAATGCTACTGTCATTTATTCCTCACCAGGACCCTAAGGTTATCCCACTTTATAGGCGGGGAAACTGAGGCATGGGAGGTTATGTCATTTGCTCAAGGTTACCCAGCTAATAAGTGTCAGAGTTAGGATTTGAACCCAGACACCTCACCCCACCCCTAACCACCACGCTGCCTCTTTCAACTTGGAATAGCTCCAGTGGAGGAGGTGCATCAGGACACAGATAATCCAAAAGAGAGGAAAATCCAAAATTCTTGTGCATGTGAAATGCATCATATGATACTTTTGCATCAATTTGGTCTCCATTATCTCAGCCCATGTCAGCCCGTGAGTGGAGGGCCAGCGGCACTCAGGAGAATGGGTTACCCGTGGGGTGTGAGCAATCGCAGGGGTGCTGCTGCTCAGCCTGGAGGGGAGAGCACGAGACCTCCTGAGGATGGCCAGGGGAGAGCCCATCTCGAAAGGGGACATCTACTGATTCTGCAGGGTCTAGGGATTGCGAGGAAAAGACTTCCAGCCCTGAAAGCACCATCCCGTCTGGGCGATCAGGCCTGCATGGCTCTGAGGAGCTGGACACGAAGAGGTTTGGTTTACCATTCAGGGAGAGCCAGGAAAACCTGTCCCTAACCCTGGTGTCTTCCCAGCCACTTGGGACCTGTCACCAGGGAAAGAAGGAGTGGCAGGTATAAGAGAAAAAACACCTATGAATTTTTTTCATCCTCTTTCTTCCATTATACCCCCAAAATCCACATTTCCAATGGTTTCCAGCAAATAAGGAGGTGGGCAAAAACAGGTGTGCGGGGGTGGGTTGGGGTAGGGGGGAATAGGAGAATGGGAAAGAGAGCATAACAGAGCACTAAGCTCTCACACTCCAGAGAGTTTAGGGGAAAAGTAATTCTCCCAGGCCCTGCCTGCTTAGGGGTTTGGCCAGTGTCCCCCTTGGACACCTGTTGACCTAATGGGGGCGTTGGGCCTTGTTTCTGGTAGTGGGTGGGAATGGGTGGGAGGAAGGGACAACTGAAAGAGTGGGAGGAGGAGGCTGACCTAAACGCTGGATCTGAAGGGGTCTTCGGGGTCCACTTGGGAAGGTTGATGGGCTGTGGGACAGTGGGGTGGGAAAGTGGGTGGAAGGGTCAAGGTTAAAAGCTGCCTCTTAAAGGGATCCTGTCAACACCTCCCACAAACATGGTCCCCCGACCATGCATTCTGGCTACATGCAAAAACTCTCCTCAGGGCTGGGTCCCCAGGAACCCTTGGCGACAAGGGCATGGCTGGTTTCTGCAGCCAGTGGAGGCCCAGGCACTGGGCCCACCAAGTAGCTTTCCATAGACCAGAGAAGTCATTCAGAAGCCTCCAGCAGCACAGCCTGTTGAGGGCAAGGGCAAGGGCAAGGGCAAGGGCAAGGGCAAGGCACGAGGCATGAATCTCCACAGAGCCCAGCCAACCCATAGCAGGCAGCCATGAAGCTGTGGAAGCAGCCGTGGTCCAAGAGGAATTGACTGTGGTGTTTCCTTCCATGTGCACACGCACATAGAGACCCAGGAGACATGGTGACAAGTGATGCACACCCAGGAGGTTGACAGGGTCCCTTTAGGTCTCGGCCCCGCCCCTGGTGCTCCCAGCTGATTAACCTGTGTGTTAACCTCGCCTTTGCCTGTTTGCTGCCTCTCTTCCTTTCTTTCCCTTTTCTCCTCTCAGAGGTGTTGCAGACCAAGGCCAACTTACCCATTTTGTTTCAGGTCTCTCGTGGATGAAAGACTCCAATCGTCCTCCTTTCTTGAGCCCTGAGCCTTCTGCCTTCCTCCCTCTCCTCCTGTCCCCACTCCCAAATCGTGTTTTGTTACCACGTTTTCTAGGCTGGATGCAGAACATCCCAGACTCTGCTCTCGTTCCTGTTTCTCTCCTTTCTCTCCCTTGACCTTCTCCCCTTCCCTTCTGAAATAGCTCTACCACAAAGATGGTGTTCCTAGCTAGAGATATCCCCCAATGTTTTCCAAATTCTAATTTTAAAACATATGCATCTTTATAGTCCATTTGGGGCCTTCACTCTTTACCTTCCTCCCTTCAAAATCAGCCCTCTCCATTTGCCCTGAGAATGACATCTGAGAACCTGGGAGGGAATTGGTTGTTTCCTGCTCATAACATCTGATTTAAATGAGAGAGAGAGGCCCCTCTCTGCCTCAAAGGGTCTAGCATGATCAGAAAAATATTCTGGGAAGCCAACAAGAGAGCCATGTATTTAGGCTGACCCTCACCTAACCCATGCCCTGGCCAACCTCTGCTTCCCCAGCCTGGCTGTGCAAAGTCTCCACAGTGGCACTTCTGTTTTCTTTTGGCAGAAATGCCTGGGAACCAAGAGGCCCCTTTCCCTGTGACCTGACCTCCCACACTAAGAATAACAGCCCTAGGACAGCGTGTCTTGCGATCCCTCTGGAAAGAGGGCATGGCTGGGAAGTGGGGAAGTTAAGGGAGCTGGATAGAGCCAGGAGGAAATGGAAGACACAGACTCATGGCTCTTGTGAGTAAAAAATAAAAAGGGAGAGTTGGCAGCCTTCTAGAGGGCTGGGAGAGAGACCTGGGAAACTCTCAAGAGAACTTTAGTGCTTCCAGACCCACTCGCCAGGCTCTGGAATTCCATCTCCCGGAAGCCCCAACTGGCGGCTAGAGAATAGGAAAGGTCTGGTCCTGCTCAGCAAATGTTCTCCAGTCCTGTTTTGTCCCCTTTGCAGACATTTATTTAAAAACTAAAAGAGCAAATGTCCTTTTTTAAAGAAGACAAATGTCTTTAGTACTAGCTCCTTTCCACTCCATGGGAAATGTGGCTGTCCTGTTCCTAGGGTTTCCTCACCTATGAGCAGATGTCCCTGTGGTCACAGCACTGCCCTCTAAATCCCTCACCTCACAGATAGGCAGATGGCCCACCCAGGACTCCTGGAATCCTCTAGGGAACCTGGGACTGCCTATCCCTTGGTTGGCCAGTTGTCCAAGTACCTTAAAGTCTTGCAAAAAAATTTATCTCTTTCCTTTTCTAAATATGGTGGAGGTGAAATTCCATAGGTACAGGGTAAAGTGGTAAAAGCAAGACACTGTCCTTCCTCTTCTGTGCCAGAATCTCTCCTTCCTAAGAATCCTGTTCCCTTCCATACCCTCTACCCAGACCACCCCTATCAACCCAGTTCTCAGGAAAGGCTTTGAAAACTTCATTCACTTTGGTGGCACCTGCATTTCAGCGGGACCCTATAGCAGAACGGCAGTGTTGGGACAGGAGCCTGGGCAGATGTTGCTTAGGAGAGCATTGTCTAGGGCCATGTCCTGTGCTCCCCAACTATGAGACCTACCTGCACTATGTCTCCTTTCAGTCAGGAAAGCCTTTGCCATGACACAGCTGCCCCTGAAAATTCTTGGGCACATCCAGAGCTGGAACAAGGTGACCCTCATTCTAGCTGCATAAAGTCCAGCTTTTTATAGACATTGTTTTAATGACGTGGTCCCCTTGTCATTGCTGAACTTTACATGAGGCACCTCTGAGCTCAGATGACCTGGCCACTCTTCTGGATCACACTGATCGTTTCTCTTTAGCTCCCAGATCACCCATGGGACCACAGCCCGTTCTCCTCTAAGGGGTCATCCAGCTGTGGTCCCTCCCCGCCTCCAGACAGGCCCTTCTGATGAAGAGAACCGGGGACATGGGAGATGCTGAATGTGGACTGAAAAGAGAGTCCAGCCACATCCCTGCACCGTGGCAGCTTGTGCTGCCTGCCCCAGGCCCTGCTGGGAAGTAGAGAGGGCCTCTGTGCAGGAGGGTGGTGAAGCGGATGGTCTGGAGGAAGGGGAGCCGTGTGGCCATGGGGAGGCAGGGCAGGAGGATTGGACTATTTGCCTCCTGGCACCTCCTTTTCCCCTGGGCTCCTGGGTTCTGAAAGGGTGTTTGGAACTCCAGCAGCAACACTGAGGTGCCGGAACGGTGATTCTGATGGTGATGGTTGCTCTGTTCTTGTCTGTCTAATATTCCTTTTTAATCCCCATCCTGCCTGCCCCTCCCTTATGTAGGGTTACTTTAGTGATCCCTGGAATGTTTTTGACTTCCTCATCGTAATTGGCAGCATAATTGACGTCATTCTCAGTGAAACTAATGTGAGTATGACTCTGCCCTCCCCAGGAACCTTCTCCTTCCTCTTCTTCTGCCTACTCTTTCCCTCTCACTCTCTCTCTCTTTACCTCCTTTTATTTATTTGTTTTAATTTCCTGTTTTTACCCGCCTCCAGTCATGCTTTTTATTGAACCTGCCGTCGTCCTGTGAGGGAAAAAAAGTGGGAGCCTCTCCTCCTTTTTTTCCACTAGTCCCAGCTCAGCCCTGTGTGCCAGGCCCAGGGGCTTGGCCGAGTGGAGGGAGCAGGCGGTGGGAGGCCGCCAGCTCCCCTCCCAAGTGGCCACAGCCCGGCGTAACCTTTGAACTAACCCAGCTTTTGTCAGGCCTCTCCACCCTGCGAAAACCAGGTGACCCAGGTTTGAGCCACCAGGACTGTAGAGTGGTAAGAGAGTATTTACTATGCCCACGTAACCTCTTTCTTTTCTCATTTTTTTCTCTTCTCTCCTTTCTTTCATGCTTTGTTTTGTTTTGTTTTGTTTTTCCTCTTCCTTTTTGTTTTGTTTTTCTCCTTTGTTGTTGGTTTTTTTTTTTTTCTTCTCTCTCTCCTTTCCTCGGCTTCTCTGCCCCATGCAGCACTATTTCTGTGATGCATGGAATACGTTTGACGCCTTGATTGTTGTGGGTAGCATTGTTGATATAGCAATCACCGAGGTAAACGTAAGTACATGGCGTCTGGACCTGACTGTCCGTGCCTGCTCTAATACTCATTGTCTTTCCCCAGTTTATTGTTTTTCTTCCTATTTTCTCCTCCCCACCTCCTTATTTTCATTTCCTGGTTTTCATTTGTTTGTTTATATTGGTTTAAAGGATTTTTTCTTGTTGCTTTATTTTGAAAATGTTTTTATGATTTATTTAACCTTGGAACGAGTTAGGCCTCCCTTTCCTTTAAGTTTTGATTGCTGCATCCTTTTCTCTCTCCCTTTACTCTCAGCCTGGCATGACTCACACTGTATAGGAGGATGCAGCTATGGGGAGCACGGAGTGAGAAAACCAAGGGACATTTGCAACTTCTGGGCAGCTGCTGGGGCAGGGACCCAAACCTCTTTTCACTCCACCTCACCTCCAGACCTCTGCCTCTCTCCCTCTCGCCTTTCCACCCACAGCATCCTGGAAAGGAGCTCTCTCCAAGTGGGACACTGGATTAAGGCTTGGTCGTTGCCTGCATTGTCAGCCCAAGGCCCGGCCCATTACATTCACACTGACAGGGCTTTGTCCGACTTAACATCAGCAGCCCATGCAGGCAGCCCGGCCCGTCCAGGCCCATTTGGGAGAGAAGCAGAGAACTGGTCATGTTCAGAGCCCTGCCCTGCTTGCACCCCTCTTCCCTGGAGTGGCCAAAGAGCCAGGTGGCTGGTGACCCACCGAGAGAGAGCTCTTCTGAGGTCTTTCCTCCCTCTTGCTGGGGCAGCAGCACCTCTCTCCCACATGGAACCCACCCAGGGAACGGACTCTTGTACCCGCCTGGTTCTCTCCCACTCCCGCCCCCACACCCTGCCCTGGCTCCCTGGCCTCAGACAACTCCAGCCCCTGCACTCCGAGGCCTCCTGCCGCCTTCCCGAGAGTTGCCTCCTCCTATACAGCTCCTACAGTTCCTGCACATGTCTCTTTGTTACCTGGCATGTTTAAACCTTCTCTTTATCTATAGGCAAGCCCTCTTGCAGTCGGTCTTTAACATGTGTTAATTTTTTGTCATAATTTTTCCTTAATTAAGAGACTTGGTAATGTTTGCACAAATCTTTGATGCACTGAACCATGAATAACAGCATGGAGCAGGTGCTGTCCAGTTTTGATCAAAGATGTTTAAAACTGCCCTACCAGCCGCCACCATCTCCCCACTGTGTTCCACATCCCCTCCTCCCTCCATACTTTGCTCCCCATCAGTTGAACTGACTTGTCATTTTATCTGCCTGATTCCCCTGATGAAAGCCCCTGTCTGCCCCCTCCCAGCAGATGGACATTGAAGGAGGCTGTCACGCTTCCCATACCCGCCCTCAGCCCCTAGCACCCTCCCCGCTCACCCGTAGCTCCAGATTTGGTTGCCTCTCTGTCTCCCAGATCCCCCGAGTTGTCTTTGTCTCATGTGTGTATGTGTGTGTATGTGTGTACACTTGCCCTTGACTTCTTCCGGTGAATGATAGATTATATTTTAAAAAAACAGTCTTCCTACACATGCTTTGTGCCCCCTCCCCTCATACTCTGCCTCACCCCTCCTGAGCTCACTCCCAGTTCTGCAGGCTGGATGGCCCAGGTTGTATCTCAGATGCTATTCAGAGCCATGAGTTGGTCATGTGTCTGTAAAGGCCAGAGCTTCAGGCTCGGAGCTGGTGCCGTGCCGTGCCCTGAACTGAGGGCGAACTCAAGGAGAGGACGGGGCAGAGAGCAGCGGTGGGCCCTGCCCTCTGAGGATGGAGGTTTTCAGACAGCAGTGCAGGTCCTTGTGAAGCCTGTGCCAGGGACCGGGAGCCTGCGAGACAGCAGGAAAGTGCCAGCCAGTGACAGCAAGCTGCTCCCCACTGTCGGCAAGTCCCACATCAACACTCAACCTGCCGTTTTCCCCCAAACTGTTAGTGCTTCTAAAAGAAAGACAAAGCAAAAGAAACGTTTAGGGCATAAATTTCTATAGAAGTGGCTATGTTGGCGGTAGAGAGGGAGGGTGCAGGACAGGAAGGAGCGTAAGGCCGCCATGCAGACCCTTCCATTTATACGTGGTTTTCTACTGACGATTCACCCTTGCATTTGTCTCATGGAACTGAACTGCCCTGCGAGTCTGACAGACACAAGTTATCGTCCCCAGTTTGCTGCCGCTAAAGATGCTGGTGGAGAGGTGAAGTCCTTTTGTGCCGTGCAGCTGAGGCCAGCCCCTCACTCCTGGGCCCCGCCCAAGTTCCCTCTCTAATCCATGATGCCCTTGATAAACACATGCATCTCACATGTCCTTCCACCAGCCAGGCTTTGTTCAGCCCTTAAGTTCTGTAATTTATATTCAGAATAACCGTACGTGTGACGCATCAGCCCCCTCGGAGCTGTGATGCAGCCTCTCACCAGCCTCCCCTACCCCAGGCTCAGGGCTCTTCCTCCTCTAGACAGAGGTGAAGAGTCACACTGAAGGGTGGTCTGGAGACGAAATGGGGACAGTGTGTGCGATGGAGAGCAAGGGGCGTTGTCCGATGAACGGCTTGTGAACCAGAAAAACCAATGTAACACCCCCAGGCAGGGGCGGTGTGGGAGAGAGGAGAGAGGGTTGATGTGAAGTCAGAGCTGGCGAGTGGCTGAGTCTTGCTTCTTCTTTTTCCTGGAAAAGAAGACTTCGTTTCCTCCTCTGTCAAAGGAATGTGATTATCTTATGGGACTGTGTTTTGAAGCTCAACGAAGAGCATCTATTTTAAAACTCTATGTAAACTATAAAGTGCTACGGAATGGAAGAGACTGGCACCCAAGCAAATGACATTTTTCCCCAAATCCCTGCTGGAATAGCTCTAGCCAATTATATTTAGTTATAACTTACGCCCACAGGCACTGTTAGAGCCCTTGTTTCCCAGATATATTAGATCCTTGGAGATGGTTGACAGGTAGGGCCAGATCAAAGCCAGCGCAGCTCACTGACCACGGCCCATACCCTCGCCTCGGCAGGGCTGTTCCCCAAGCACATTGGATGTAGCCCTGCACTTGCATAGCAGTCAGTATTGTGGATGACAACTTGTATAAGCAATAATGCTTAGTCTCAGAGGTGGGTCCCTCTGCCCATAGGTTCTGCCTCAGGCCACTGGCAGCTCCTGGGTCTGAACACTCCCTGGGGCAAGCAGTTTACAGCTCCAGGTGTCCCCTGGGGCCGCTCCAGGCCTTCCCAGAATTTTCTCGTCTTACTTGTCATCACAAGACACTCACTCCCAGACATATGTTCTACTTGGCCTCAGAGGGATCCATGAGGGCTTTTCACCTGTAACTCATCATCTTTGACTCTTCAACCTACAGAAATTGACTCTCATTTCCCTCACCTAACTGCCATATTCATCCTAACCGCCCTCCAAATATTCCTCACATCGAAGCTCATCTCCCCATAAATGCCTTCTCTTTCCTCCTTGCCTTTACAGGCTATGGCACCTCTCCCTCTGGGAAATGGGTTTCCAACCAATCCCAGGAGCCAGCATTCACTCATTCCACCATGTTTCTCGTCTCCCCTTCTGTGTGCTGGGTACGATTGTAGGCACCTGGAGTACATCAAACAAAAGCTCCCTTTTCATGAGCTGGCAGTCTAGGGTCAGAATAATAAGCCTGTGAGCAATGCAAGGAGTATAGAAAACAAGGAAATCATAGTCCATTGAAAGCTGGTAAGTGCTTTGGAAAAGGAATAGTGTCATGTAAGGGGGTCAGAGGTGCTAAGAGGCAGTGAAGGAAGGTGCTGTTTCAAATAAGATGGAAGTGAGGAGTTACCCATGCAGATACCTGGGAGGAGGGCTTTGGGGGCAGGAGAAACAGCTGTTACTGGTGCAGAATGAGCAGGGGAGACGGAGAGAGGAGGGGACCAGAGAGGGGGAGCAGATTTGGGCTTTTATGCTGAGCAAGAAGGGGAGACACTTGTGCCTCTGAGAAGAGGTGTCCCCTGATCTGACTTACATTTCTGAAGGCCGATTGGCTGTCTATAGGAGTCAGGGTGGAAGCACAACACCATGTAGAAGGTGCACATGATTACCCAGGTGGGAGGGGACCGTAGCCTGCAACAAAGCAGCAATAATAGAGGTGGTGAAAAGGGTCCAATTCTCAATCTGTTTTGAAAATAGAATGAACAGTATCTCCTGACAGACTGGATGTGGGAGTAGGAGGAAGAGGTGGCCAGGATGGCTGTGAGGTTTGGGCCTAAGCAGTGGGAGGATGGAGCTGGTATGAACCGGGAAAGACAGGAGGTGGAGCACGTTTGCATGAGGAACTCACTGGGATGCATCTATTTCACCTCCCAGTGGGGATGGCAGGTAGACAGTTAGACACATAGTCTGAGGGTGGGGCTTGGGGTTGTCAGCATATAGATAGTATTCAAAGCCATGACAGTGGTGAAGAGCTCCCAGGGCTGAGCGGGGCGGGGCCTCCAGCAAGAGGAGGGCGGGACGTTTTGCGCTCAGAGCCAGTCTGAGGTTCACTTTCTGCTCCCTCTGGGAGATGCCTCTGACCACTGCAGAATGTACCCAGAGGGCGATCAGAAGTCTCCACCATGTGGAGCTGTACTGGATCCTGCTTCCACTGCTCTTCTCCTCCTGAGGCCTTACCTCGTTCTCAGTCAGAGGCTTCCTCCCTCCGTGTCCCCTGGGAGGTCCAAGTGCAGCATCTTGTCACTCTAAGGAAGCCTTCTGGTTTTCCTTTATTTCTTGGGTCTGAAATATATTTTCCAGAGGGAAAAGCCTGAGACATAGGCCCTGTGATTGTTAATGGAAGTTCCTGGAGCATCAGAAACTGCTCCCTAACATCCCAAGTTGAAATCAATTTGGGTCCCTGGTCATTCAACACCTTTCCCATCACTGTTCTTTATCATTCTGTATTTTGATTATTGCACCATAGAGAGTGCTGAGAGGCCTGGATTCTTGCATTATGGATACAGGACAATATTCCCAAATTGCAAATCAAGAAGCCTATGTTCTGTTTCCAGCTCTGGCACTATGAAGCCATGT